AATTCGCCAAGACAGGCGGGGAAAAGTAAATTTTTCCAAAGTAAAACTTTGTGAGCAAGGCACACGAATCCTAGTCGCACATTCTTTTGTATAAAGTTAATAACAGGAGTGACGAACGTATGAGCCTACAATCCATGTTATTTCTAGTGCAAAATCGCGGTATATAACAATATAAAAATATATGCAAGTATCAAGAGATGTCTCTTACTGAAAACAATGTAAATTTATGTTAAAATTAGCAGCGGTTTCTCCGACGGCGGTAGCTCTTTCGTTTCTTGTATCTCGACGACCTCCCGTTTTATTATGTTCCCTTTCTCGTCCACTTCATCGATAGACAACAAGATGTTAGATATAACAGGTACGGATTTGTCAGCGCCGCCCTCGGCCGTTTCCTCGTGCGAGTCCTGTACGGCTTCCGACTCTTCCTCCGCGTTATCCTCAACGATCTGGGGCAAACGTTATAATATATGATTTTTTCAGAATAACAATCTTCGCGTAACCTTAAGTCACCATAAATTCCACCCACTTTTACTTCTGTTAACGAGGTAGTTTGATTTAGCTCTAGTTTATATTTTATGTTTGGTAGATCCGCCTCTACGACGGGCGACACGTTCTCTTCGTCCACAGCCTCGTACCGAACCATCTGCAGCCTGTAACACCCGTCCTCGTCCTGCGTGTAGTGAAAGCGCTTGTGTCCGCTGGGCAGTTGCAGTTGATGGGCTTCTATGAGATGTTTCGTCAGCCTGTAACTCTTTCGGTACTTGATCGGGCATTCGTGGCAACAGTACCATCGCACCGCTTGACTGTGTACTCGTTCCACGTGCCTATGGGGGATACATCTATTATTTTCATTATCAAATAAAGAACATTAATGAAAGCCCTTGCGATTACCTGTCCAAGCTGTAAGCTCCCTTGCACGTGTAGAGGCATCCCTCGATTTGGCAAGAGAAGTTCGGTCCATTGGTGTGGACAGTCATGTGGGAATCGAGATCCTGCTGCGACTTGGCGGAGTGCGAGCACAATTGACACGGAAACGTTCTGGTCGGCATGTGACGGTATCGCACGTGCTTCGCCAGGCTCGCCGGCGACTCGCAGCTCATGTCGCACAGGGAGCACTTGTAATTGAACACGTGGGCCCTCATGTGGTCGCGCAAGATGCCCTCGGTCGGATAAAACTTGTTACAGTGTGAGCAACGGAATCCTTGCACTGTAAATTCACGTGTTTTAACATGGAAAACGCGAGGGAGACAGAGCTAATGTCGAGTATACGATGAATCCGTTACCCTCCAGGGGAATCTGCCGCTGGCAATGCGTGTGGAATTTCGCTTTCGAGGCGAACGTGACGCCGCAGTCCGGGCAGGCGACTATCTTCTCCTTGGTGTGGCATCGGACGTGATCCCGCAGCTTGTACAAGCTGGGAAACTTGCCGCTGCATCCGGTCCACTTGCACTCGACCCCGTTCTTGACTCTGTTGCCGCGCGGACAATCCGTCATGTGTATCATAATGTGATACAAGTACATTTGGTAATTCGTGAACAGCCTCAGGCACTCGTTCCACCTGCACAAGTGCGGAGGTGGGGAGTCTATGATGTTCTTCCATTCCGGGTCTCTGCGGCATTTCTGCAATCAGAAGGAGCACCGTCTTTAATCGCTGCCGTTCCGATTACGGCGGTTTCGAGACGCTCGAGACGCCGCTGCTTACCGGTAACTTGGTTCTCCCGCGGACGTTCGATCCGATACACTTGAGCTTGGTGTGGTAGGCGTGATAATTTACGTGCCGTATTATATCGTCGGACACGTCGCTGTCGTACGGACAGTCCTTCCACTGGCAAACGTAGACCTCGCCGTCGTCCTTCGTGCCTATCTGTACGCTCGGTATGTGACTAGAGACGTGCCTCAAAAACTCGTCCATTTGACCGCTGCGAAACGCGCACTCCTTCCACTCGCAGGGCAGATTCAGCACCTCGTCCTTGAGCTGCGTGCCCACCTTGTGCTTCTTCCCGCCGCACTCCGACACGGAGTCGAACTCCGAGTCCGTGTTGCACCAGTCATCGTACTCGAGCTCCTCCAGCTTGCGCTTGAGGCTCTCCGCCTCGGAATAGGGACAGTCCTTCTGCGACTCCACCCAATTGCTGCACCTGTCCAGCACTACCTTGCTCGCCGTCACCTTCGTCTCTGGGTCCGTCATCGCGCGGGGACAGCAAAACTTCATATTACGTCCAGCAGCCTGGAACAAGATCTCGAGCGCTGATCGGAAGCGTATCGCAACGTATTTCGGAGAAGCTACAACATTCGCGAAACCGTACCTGTTAAACCGTGTCGCTGCAACGCGACGCAGAGCGGCCGATCAATCGACGAGACTCTTCGCACGAATTCTAAAAATGATTCCTAATCGGGCCTTCGCAGCTACCGCCAACGTGCCGAGCCGCGTCTGCCGCGTGGCACACCAGTCGTTCAGCGGTTCCCGGCGGTGGTGGGCCACGCGGTCGCCGTTTCCTCGCCGTCGACCACGCGATATCCTCTGCTATGCGTCCGTTCCTGTCGCGGGCGCTCCCGACGCTGCTACGCGAGTGTCACCTCGTCCGCGGATCCTCCTCTCGGGACCCGCGACTCGTCGCATCGCGCGGGACGTCGCGCCACTGCGTTGCCGCCAGCTACCCCGCGAGCGACCGCAGGGGCACGACCATCTGCGCCCTGTCCTCCGGTTGTTACTCTCGCACCTTGCCCGCCGCGAGAACAGAGGGGAGGGAGGGTCCTAACGCGCTGATCCTTGTGGATCTCTCGGGCGACAGGTTAAGGGTCTTAACGCGCTCGAGCCCGCGTGTCTCTCCCCTCCCTCCGCTTCGTGTCACTTCGGCGAATTCCGATTAACGGATATAACATTGTATGAAATGTCCATTTCTATCGATGCGGATTAATTTTTATCTTGGCTCAACTTGCCTGTCGGCTTCCTCTAGCTTGAAGAGTTTGAAAGAGATAAGAAGCGAGCTAAACCGAGACTTTGCGGACAGTCGATCTGCATTTGGTAGACGTGGACGTTCCTGCAGCCTTTCTTCTTTTCTTCGAGCGTTGCACGTCCCATGCCAGTTTTCACCAACGTCGTTTCGTCTTGATCTTGGTTTAATTCATCCTCTTGCCTCTTTCTAAGGCCCGGTTTCACCAACGTTGTTCAACTTTAAGCTTAGCTCAATTCGTTCTTTCCAATTGTTACTTCAGGAAGAGACAAATGAAGCGACGTTTGGCGAACCCGGGCTTCGTTCTTTGTCTCTTTCCAATTGTTACTTCAGGAAGAGACAAACATGAATTAAACTAAAATTGAAGTTAAGCGACGTTTGGCGAAACCGAGCCTTATTCGTAAAACTAGAAAAAGACACAAAGTAAGCTGAGCCGAGATTAAAGTTCATCTGCATTGGTAGAAATTGGCATTATAATAGAAAAAGAAAGGATGAATTAAACTAAGATCAAAATTAAACGACGGTAAACTTTGCGATCCACGAGTTCGTCGTCGATCGGGATGCGAGATCGTCTTTTTGCAATTCATTTTTCGGAATTAAGTTAACGTCAATTCATGACAAGCGTCATCGATGTAAGAGCGAGAACTAATTTTCTTTTTAAGGTCACGGCAAGTGCGGCGTGGCAGTGATGAGAATGTCGGGTAGCCGGTCTCTGGAGGTGCTGCAGAAGATGACGAGCATATCCAAGCTGGAACCGAGGAAGGCCTACCTGCGAAAGATACGCGATCCGGAAACGGGCGAGGTCATCGACAACGGGCTCTGCTTGTGGTTTCCCGGTGCGCGTAATTTCATCTCTGTGAATTCACGTTTTAGATATTCAATTTTCAATTTTTTGGCGAGGAGAGACTTGTTCAGTTTTGAGTTGGAGGAAGATCAAACTTTCTATGCCGCATTATTTACGGGCTGACCCCAATATAAGTGTTTTTCCGAGGACGATTCCTAGAGCCACAGCCGATCGGCGACGGAAGAGACGAGAAACCGCAGAGGATGCCCCAATTAATTCATGTCTGATTAGGTCAACCCGTTTCCAGGTCCGCGCTCGTTCACCGGCGAGGACTCCGTGGAGTTTCACGTGCACGGCGGACCGGCGATCCTGACGCGGCTGATGCAGGTCCTCTCGAGGCTGCGGGTGCATCCGGCGCTGCCGGGCGAGTTCACCAGACGCGCCTTCTACAACAACAAGCTGGACCTGACGGAAGTGGAGGGCCTGGCCGATCTGATAGAGGCCGAGACCGAGTGCCAGAGGAAGCAGGCGTTGTTGCAGGCCGACGGTGTCCTACGCAAGCTGTACGACGGCTGGCGGAAGGTGCTGTCGGAGGCCGTGGCGAGTATCGAGGCGTACATAGACTTCGGCGAGGAGGAGAACATCGAGAGCGACGTGATACAGAACGCGCGTCGCGCTCTCAGACTGCTGACGCGGGATCTGGAGGGCCACCTGGCCGACGGCAGGCGCGGCGAGATCCTGCGCAGCGGCGTGAGGACCGTGATCGTCGGCGAGCCCAACGTGGGCAAGAGCAGCCTGTTGAATCGCTTGGTGCAGCGAAACGCTGCCATCGTCACGCCGATCGCCGGCACCACGAGGGACGTCATCGAGCTGACCGCCAACATTTCGGGCTATCCCGTGCTGATAGCGGACACCGCCGGTATCACGGAGGACACCGGGGACATCGTCGAGGCCGAGGGTGTCCGTCGAGCGAGGAGCCACGCGGAGAACGCCGATTTCGTCGTCGTCGTCGTGGACGCGCTCAAGTGCGCGACCAGCGGCATCACGTACGAAGACTACGTGCGCGAGTACTCGGCGTCGCTGGGGATACGGGAGCTATTGGCGAGAATCGGGAGGGAACGTTTCGTCGTGGTAGCGAACAAGAGAGATTTGCTGAAGGAGAACGAGGCGCGGCGCCTCGACGGCGCTGAAGCGGCTCTGATATCCTGCACGACGGAGGATGGCTTCCAGAACTTGCTGCGAACGCTGGCGGACCGCTTCAGTAATATGTAACGATACAATTGATAAACGTCGGACACTTGCAATTGCGATTACATTTTGACGGCACGCATTTTGTTTAGATGCGGCGACCCATCCGCGGAGAGTCCGACCATCAGCCAGGCGAGGCACAGAAATCACTTGACGCAGTGCTCGAGGCATCTACACAACTATTTCGAACTGTGCGCCAACGAGCAGCACGACGTGGCGATAGCGGCCGAGGAGATTCACAAAGCGATGCGAGAACTCGGGAGGATAACGGGACACGTCAGCACGAATGAAATATTAGACATTATATTCAAAAACTTTTGCATCGGCAAATGAAGCGCTGCTACCTGCATATTTCAAACCGCGGATCGTAATCACCCGTACAGCACGCATGTCTAAAAGATGTCTTAAAGATGCAATGCTAAAAATTGTTATCATGAAAGATACGTGGAGCATCGGTCCTACAAATGCTGGTATAAAGAGACTAGAGTTACAAATCGGAATTATCTCTGTGCACGCGTGCGTAAATATTTCACGCTCTTCTTTTTGAAGAGATCTAGCACGGTTGCAGACAGCGTGAAGTAAAGCGAATGGAAGGAAGAGGACCTTCATAAGCATCGTATGTTTATTAACAATGTTACACGCACAATCATACATAGAACAACCTTTTGCCTGATTATAAGATATCGATACCCTACGCGTTATACACAGATAGGGCTCCGTTACGTGGTTTCAAGTCGTTATCTGTATGCCATGTCCGTGTTATGTGGTAATTGCATCTCGTTACTATGACGTTTTATCATAATAACTCCGCTCGCTCTCGCACAAAAGGATAATTTCACTTGGCGAAATAACGAAAGTAAAACAACTCGATTGAAGAAAAGAAAAAGAAATTAAATGCATATAAAAATTTACTTCTTATGACTCGATTTCTGACACACGTCTGACAAATCTGCGGTACTCGGAATAAAGAACGCGGTTCCCTATTCGGGGGGGAAAAAAACGGAAGAAAAAGGAGTTGTGTTGCGATTGACCATTATAAATGGTATCATTACAAAGTCCATTATGCAACTGCTAATGTAATTTTTCGCACTCTAATCATGCTTACCGTGTTAATTTCATTTTTACACAGTGACAGCGTCCAAATTTTAACAAATATAATCTTTTTTTTTCTTATATTTGCACGGTGACTCCTCGTCTCCACCCGTTCAGGGATTAAATTCAATTCGCGTGACTCGTTTGCGAGTCACGAAAATTTTATGCGCGTAGCGAGAGGCCACCAACGAACGTGCTGTTAATATAGTATGATCAGTCCATGTAAAGAAATCGAATGGCTTATAAATATATATAAAGATTTGGCGGATTCATCACGCGACTCAACACGCCGCGCAGGATTCGTCGCTTATCCCTCCCTCTTCTGTGGTGTCTTTTTAATATATATGTATATATATATATATATATATCATATAAATCCGATGTGTAGAATCCCCGCAGAGTAGATTGCTCGTTTGTACAATTGCGTAGAATAGTTTCGAGACCTATTCGAAAGCAAACTGACTCGCGCTGCACGTCCGAGACGCATTTATTACGTTGTAGATCGTTTTCATTTTCTATCTACACGTGTTCTACTTTCTTTCACCCAATTTTAATATATAAAGCCTTAAGTTATTGCGCGAGCTCGTCCGGTCTCACAAGGAAGCTAAAGCTTCGCCGCGCCTTGTTTCTCTCTTCCTCCTCTTCCCCCGCGAGACCGGACCGATCACGCGCAACAGATTTTTGTAATCCTTAAATGCTACTAACGTTGAAATCTCGCCCAATTCTTGCGCGCGACGAAAAATCATAGTAGAATTTAAAGATTAGTGCGAACCTAGTGAACCGCAATCGAGCACATCCGTCGGACGAAAAAGAATTCATGCGCGAGTAACGCAAACTCGCGACTAAAACATAAACGAGAAAGAGAGTAAGTACAAAGATATATAACATCCTTTCACATGCTGCCTCGAATATACAATAATCCAATGTAAATTTTTATCGAAGAAATCGGAACGTTACTCGTTCAATATAAAAATATATAATATTCCTTTGCATTTCAAGAGAATATAATAACCGAACGCTTGCATTTTTATCGAGTCGTCCGTAAATCCTTACCAGAGAAGTTGACGAGTAGACAATCAGACCGCGGATGTGAAAATTGAGAATCGAAAATCAATCGCAATTTATACTTGAACAATACCACACTTGAGAGACCGAGTGCTCGGTTCGGGACCACGTACGGATGAACGCGAGCGGTTCACAGAAGGTCCTACCGTGGCAGATACGAACGAGAAAAAGAGAAGCGAAAGAAAGTCCGTCGAGGATCGAGTCGAAGACTCGTCGATTCCTTCTCTCGTCCCTAAATGATCCACGACCTTACATCGGAGTAAACGTCCACATTCGTCCATTTCACTCCCAATTCTTTCTCCATCTAACACGTCCCTCGTACGACGGCGGAGGATACGAGAGAAGAAAAGCGACGGTGGAGGGTGTAGCGGACCGAACCGAAATTCGCGTAATAATTTAGCTTGATATGAAAGGAGAGGTGAAAGAATGTAGAACGATGCATGGTGAAAACGAGAAAGTGATAAGTTTCGAAAGTGCAACGCGGGTCAAGTTTCTTTACATGTATCTCTGCATCTTTGACTGACCATACTATATCGAGGAACGTAGCTAAATTCGTTTGCGATTCACGAAATGCGCGTTGGTCCACTAAGACCACTTCCCGAGTCCTAAAATGATTCTGAAGACCCGTTTTGTTTTAATTTACTTTCATTGATATTTTTCCCCCTTTATCTCTTTTATTTTAGGAAAGAAAAATCTGTTTTCGCTCTCTTACATCTAATTTTTATCGACGCGAGTATAAAAGAGAAGCAACCGCTCACCAGTTAAAGGGAGAACACGATATATATGGTGGAAGTTAAAATAAAACAAAGAAATGATCGAGACTGATGAAATACTCGGATTATTTTCGGGACAGGGAGATGATCTTTCTGCACCAACGAATGGGAATGGGAATGAAAGAATCGAACCGAAGGCGAAGAGCCCTCCGTTCGATCCGCGATAGGCCTTTTACTTGTTCGCTTTTCTCTTCTCGTATCCTCGCTCGTTAAAGGCGCTAAGTTTGACGATAATTAGATTATCGCGAGCGTCCACCCAGCAATTCGTTGAACGAGGAGAACAGCGCTGCTGAAATGATACAATTAACTTTAACAGCATGCTGATTGTATTTGAGACGTTAAAAATTCAGTTTCGATTTCGCGAGATCGTTCAGGAAAGCTCCGTGGAGACCGATTCACACCGATCGTTTTCACTCACTGCGAACTCCGACGAAGTGAAATATTGTCAACATTTCTCTCGCACCCGTTTCTTTTTACTAATAGCGCACAGATGTACGCCGCATAAAAGTGAGATGTGCACGTCAAGATCAATTTGAAAACTCATCGGTTTTGTGAAACAGTATAATACACGACTTCAATTTATTATCCCCCAATCATTCTTGGAGAGAACCTTTTAAAAAAAACCGCATGTATCTCAACGCACAGCTCTGATATCTGCGTCGGAAACTCGCTCGTAGATTTCGGAAAGGTGATCTGCCTCGATACCTCTTATCGAGAAAGGCAGCGCTTGGAGACATCCGATCGCAAGTTATCACACAGGAAATTATTTCGGAAGAGAAACTTCATTAAAAAAAAAAAAAAAAAATACAAAGACCTCAACTGAACGTTGGGGACAATTAAGTCATGTCGTTCGGTTTCTCGAATTGGCTTCGACTCGCGGAAATCTTGAGATAAATCTTATCATCCGGCGACACCTCGGAACCGAAACGGTACCATTCTTCGCCGGAACACTCGGCGCTCCGGCCCCGGTTCCGAGGATCAGCCGGGATCAGCAGCCGATGGCACGGATCATCTCTTTCGTACGGAAAGTAACGGGGACGAGAAACCGCAACGGTTCACCGTCACCCGCTCTAGCGAATGTATGTCTATACGCACATACACACATTCTATACTTTGCATGTAAGTAATGCCTATTTTCCAAAGATATATGTTATGTGAGACACGCACTCCTTCGCAATCACCGAATCACGCGATTCCTGCCCTCGTGGGCCAGCAATATCCCTCTCCCCGTTCATTCCTTCCTTCACCATCGGTGCCTTCTCTTCGCTCGATTCACGCGTTTCCGCGAACCCTTGATGTCGCGCAAATCGTACCATCTCGCCCGCTTGTACTCTGCTGACGCGTACGCGCGCGTCAAAGCATCACGGAAACGCGCCGTTGTCGCCGATGAATCGCGACGTCGCCCTCCGAAGGAGGTGCGCGTACGCGATTCCGACGTCGTTCTCCACCGGGAAGCTAAAGCTCGATCGTGGCGGCAACGCCAATTAGTACCGATTAATCCCGGATACCGATCAATTCTGGGTAATCCAGGGGAGATCCTGAGAGATATTCTAAATTTGACTTGATTCAGTAAATTGATACTCGATAAAATTAGAAGTTCTCTCCCTGCGCTTTCTTAGAAAAGAAAGCAATATGTACAATCGCTATCGGTATCAATCGACGTTGCCATCGGCCCTAAACGCTTACAATGCTAACAAATCTCTCGTCATTCATTCATTCATTTATTCTCTTTCTCTCTCGCTATTTTACCGTGCCACTTGTGCACAGCGCTATGTACAAAAGAAATATACTACCTACAGATTACAACAGTGATTTACCGTGAAATATCCTGAACCATCGCAACTCAAAAATGGCGTATGCACACGCAGATATATGTATGTATGTAATTTTACAAGGAGAAAGGAAAGTGCGTTATCGAAAGTAAACGCCGATTGCAAGGGAACTCAAGTTCATGGCGGTTCGTTGGTGCTACACCAAATCTATCTTGCCGTAATCGAGGCTCGATCTACAGCGAACTGGCAAATCCCGATCAGCGAGCCCCCTCCGCCTTCGGGGAGTGCGCGAGGAGGCACGGTGAATCGGAATTAGAACCAGAGAGAAATTTCAAATGAATTTACAAGTTCGAGTCCAAACGAATCTGGAAACGCGGCGAGGTGGAGCGTCCACGCGCGCGTTTTCTAAATTTATTCGGACGGGCTAAGGGGATATGTCACGATCCGTGAAATGCAACGGCCGACGGCCGGACGGGAAGCCCTCCTTTTCCTCCGGAGGCTGCCCCGACGCGCTTCGCGTGCGTTCGTCTATTGTGTATTTCGCGATGTTACTCTTTTTTCATTTAGTATAAAAAGTCTCATCCGGTGACACGTCAATTGGTACGTGGGTAAATCCCGAAATTCGTTACTCACTCGACCTATTACCTCAGACTCGACATGCGCACCTTTAATGAGGAATCCTTAATCGTTAAATCCTTACACGCGTATTAATATGTGATGCTTATGAGTTTATGAGCTACCTATACTAAAGGAAAAAACATACACCACTGAAAGATTATATTTCCTTATATCCGCGATCACGCGTTTATTAGCTACACTCGGATCGCCGCGCAAAGCTACTTCTTTTTTTTGTCTCTTTTTTTTCTCTCTTTTTGCACTGTGCATACGCTTTAGTGGAGATGTAATGTTTCGCGGTAAATGGGAGCAAAATTCGGAAAGACACGCGTCACTCTCCTACACGTGGTAATAAAAATCGCTACACGAATCTCTGGCCTCGTCTACGCTCTCCTCACTCCACCCCCTCTTCAAACCCCATGTGTAATCTCTTTCTCTCCCTCTCTTTCTCTCTTACGCGCACTCATCTCAGACACCATTACACCACCACCCCATATACAAATAGTGAAGCACATTAAAAACATAGCGATAAGCTAAGTGTTATGCAAGTATTGGAAAACTTCCACTAATTCTATGCAAAGTATAGCTTGTAAGATATCATTCATTAAAACTAGAACTTACGCGCTAATCGAAAAGAGAGAGAGGCATTCTATCCCTCACCCTGGTACCCGCGCATGGTGGGGCAACACAATTCCTCTCTCTATTCTCCTTCTTTTTATCCTCTCTCTCTTTCTCTCTCCCTCTTCCTGTCGAAGCGTCGCTTCGCACCACCCCTTCCCTCGCGCGATTCGTGCGCGTGACTCGAAAAAAGAAAAAAAATTATGATAAAGTAACTCAACCAAAACGGGACGCCACCACCCTGATCGCGCACAGTGGTCATTATTTCTTCTGATTCTGTTGAAACTTCGTTAAATAGCGTGTCTTTTGTATATATCGCCCCGTATCTTGAAGATTCACGCTATCGAATGCATTACATAGTAAAATTACATAGTTGAGCTCAACTCACTATGACCTGCCGTGTCACTCGTATGACGAAAAACAAGCCGTGTCATCATCCTGCCCCTTCCCTCCCGCTCTCGCGGCAAAGTGCATCCGTTTAGATGTGCATACGCGAAATCGTGCCTGCGTAAATTTGCCAAAGTATCGTCTACCCATCTAGGACGATCGTGTCCCTGACTCAGATTGGCTAAAAGTTATTTCAAACTGGATCATAAATTGAAATAAGTTTTACCATATCCTTTGCGCATTAAGGCGCGAGTAAGCTAATCTGACAAACCTCGCGTACACGCGAAAGATCTGCGAAACGCTCGACACAACGATAAATAATCGGCGATTCGACTCCCGACGTTTCTCGGCTCGTCCCCCCCTTCGGGGAAATACTTTCTAACTTGGAGAATAGACACGCGGAGACGAGCCCTATCTTACAAATTTCTGTCCAGCATCCACGAGTCGTAATATAAGGAAGTGCGACCATTTGTTCCCAAGTTTCGGTGTGGTATTTAAAAGCAATCTAAAGTAAAGATCCGACGGTTTCATTCACTTGTTGAATCGCGGTGGTCTCCTCAACCGCGTTATCAGCTCCGTCCTGACGGTCCTGGCGTAATTCGGCGTGGCGTACTGATCGGTCACCGCGATCGTGCTCTGAAGACTCTGTATGAATATGGACGAGTCCTGTATCTGACCTACGCCCGCCGCCGCGGCCGCCGCCGCCGCCTGATACTGATACTGACTGCTGGTCATGTCGGCGGTCGGGTAGTGGCTCGGTTGTGGCACGAATTGCGGCGGATTCTCGTACTGCGGATACGGAATCGAGCTCTCCGCGGAGAACTGCGGTATCACCGTGTTGACGTTGACCGGCGTGGTGGGGTAGCTGCCCGGGTCGTAGGTCTGATACTGATTCAGCTGGCCGATCGGTGTGGTGTTAAACGGCGGCGACTGAGGAAACTGCGCGGCGGGCTCGGAGAACAGCACGTTCGCCACCGTCGGTTGCGGGAAGGGCTCCGGTCTCGGAGGGTACGGCGGCATGTTGGCAGTCACCGCGTTGCTCAGATTCTGCACGCTCGGTATGCCGGCGGCGATCGGCGAGGTGCCGTACCCGTGAAACGTGGTCTGCGAACGCCCGGTGTGATCGCCCGGATCCTTCACGCCGCCGCTCTGCAGCGAGTTGATGACGTTGAGCTTGGACTTGGTGCTGGCGTCGCTGCCGCCGCCGCCGCCGATCGTCTCGTTACCGTGCTTGATACGTGCGTCCGTCAACAGCGGATGCCGCACGTTAACGATGCTCTGCGGGGCGCGCAGCGGCGGAAAGTTGATCGGCGCCACCTTCGACACCGAGCCCTGCTGCTGTTCGAGCGCCTTGCGCGCGACCGCGAACGCGCTATTGCTGTCGTTCCTCTGACAGGAAGCAAACTGCGGGCTGTACGCGCTGGACGGCGTGTAGGTCTCCCGGTGCAAAACCGACGCCGCGGCCGACGACTGTTGCGTCGCGAACCTCAACGGTAGATTGGCGGTCATCGTTTCGGCGATGCCGATGCTCTTGTAATCCGAACTGTTCGCGGACATTGGTTCCTTGTAATCCGACTGGGCTGGATAATTCTTCATGCCCGAATCCGTCTCGTTTGGAAACTTCTTCGGGGCGACGTAATCCTTTGGACTTTTCATCGGGGTGTCGTGCGCGTTGCCGCTTATACAGGTACTGACAGACCGTACGCTACTGAACGTGGAACTGCTGGACTGCTTCGTGGTGACGATCGACGTACTTTTCGTCGTGTTGTGCGATTCGCTCGAGGACTTGAGGGTATCGTTATTACCGGCGTGCTTCTTCATCGACGAGTTAATTTTGCCAGCGACGATCGAGCTGCCGGACGTTGCGTGCAGAGTGGCATCTTTGTTGCCCGCCACGGTGCTCGCCACCCTGACAGGCAACTTGGACGTTCTGTTCTTACTTCCCGCGTGGTTCTGCCCGCCTTTACCTCTCTCGGCGACCTGACTGTTGACCGATAATACTTTGATGTCCGTGTTATTGTTCTGATTGTTAGATGCCAGATTGTGGGGCTTGCAGGTGATGGTGACAGCTGGCAGGAGCGAAGCGCTGGCTCACTTCTTGGTCATGATTTTCAGATATTCCAGGGCATTTTGAGCAGCACTGGCTTGAGCATCTTTACTAGTCGCACCGCAACCATAGCAAACTGCTACTGGCAGGGTAGACAGTTGCACAAGGCACTGGAACTTACCTACAAGAACAACATGTCTGTTTGAAAATAATTCTTGTCTCTCCAACGGGTACTGGCCGGCAATTAATTGGGCAATCTTAGTAAATATTTACGTCATAATTTGATAACGCGCGACACCAAGGAGGTCACAGATACGTATGTGGGCCATCAGTCAACTATTATACTGCTACGCTTAGCACAATTCAACATGCGAAAACGGACATAGTGGTGGTAGGAGTAACAGTACAAATAAACTGCAATATGGCAGCTCTGACATCAGCCAAGAGTGCCCTGAGAAAAGAAATCAAGGGCATTCTGAGAAACATTAGCCTGGAAGAAAGGAAGCAGCAGTCTGCACAGGTATTTGAGAAGGTGAGTCTAAACGAAGGTGAATAAATCAATAATCCCACAAGCCGCAGGCTTGTTGAAGAGGTTATGTTCTGAGTTAGGAGCAAAGCTGTGTAAAGCGATGACGAAACTCGCGACGCTACTTTACTATCGCGTGTTTACAGCTTCGCCTATTGAAGCAATATCAAGACAGCAAGAGAATTTCGCTATATCTGAGTACTAAAGATGAAATCGACACCCTGCCCATCTTGAAACACACATTTGACACGGGGAAAGAGGTTTTTGTACCGCAATATCGTGGAAAGACTATGGAAATGGTAAAACTGAGGTCGATGGAGGATTACGAGACACTTCCGCTAACGAAGTGGAACATTAAACAACCAAGCACCGCAGAATGTCGTGAAAATGCATTAGAAAAAGGTAAGGGGTCTAAATAGAATAATAAAAGAAAAAAGTATACTTCGCAAGAAGTCAATATCTTACAAAGGTATTTTCTCGTTTAACTTAAACTGTACAAATTCTGTACTTCAGATGGACTAGATTTGATAATTCTACCGGGTGTTGCTTTCACAATAAACGGTGAGTTTCGTTCAAGAAATACTACACACTTGATAATCCTGCATGTAACCGATTGATCTTTATTGTCGATCAGGGAAACGCCTGGGACATGGAATGGGTTACTACGACAAGTACTTGAAGAGGTGTTTTCAGAAACAAAGCGTAAAGCCGTATCTAGTTGCGGTTGGTTTTAAAGAGCAAATACAAGAAGACGTTCCTGTTAACGAGGACGACGTGCCTGTAGACATCGTATTCACTGGGCAATAAATAATTTTATGAAAAAAAAAAAAATGTGCAGTTTTATTCTACGCGCGCAGTTATTTCTAATAGGTAGAGGTGTGACATTTTGACGTTACTTTGTACGCAAAATAACGTCAAAAATCGCAATTTTCCTTAGTAAACATTTCTAACGTCAACGTTGTATCCTAAACTAAAGAGGTTTATGCCCAAGATTAGTTTTGTTTACTTTTTTAGATGTTACTGCTTTTATAGCCTAAAAATATGTAATTTCAGTAATTTGTTCCATGCTATTTTAATATGTTACGTTTTATGTTACACTTTTTAACATACATTTAGCCTTAATGGCTGCGGTCAAACTGCCGCTACAAATGCTTCAAAGTGTTCTTCTTTTCCTTTCTTTCAATAAAGTTAAAAGGAGAAGAGAAACGCTTCGAAGCGTTTGTAGCGGCAGCTTGACCGCAGCCAATGTCGTAAATTGTTCTATGAAAACATTAAGGCTCGGTTTCACCAACATTGTTTAGCTTTAAGCTTAGCCCAATTCGTTCTTTGCCTCTTTCTAAAGTAATAGATGGAAAGAGGTAAAGAACGAATTAAACGAAGTTTAAAGTTAAGCGACGTTGGTGAAACCAGGCCCAAGTCGTCTTATTGAAGACCTGCCCACCTCTGACCACGGCATTGTCAAAAACATTGTGAAAATAATGCGAAATCCGGAAAAACAAAACGCAAAAGATGCGAAAAAATGTCCCAAAAATAACATTAAAATGTCACACCTCTACTAATAATAGGCATAAGCTCTTTTACGTATCAACTTACCACTGATAGACTTCTCTTCAATATCAACATAAGTTACTTCGAACTGCTGCTCTGACGCGATTTCTTGTAAAAATTGTACCAAATTTATATCCCCATCGTTGAAACAAGTATTCTGGAACAAAATTAGAATGACTTGCACGCAATCGACTACAGTTTTCCCGATATCAAGAGCGAGCGAGCGATTTCTCTTCGTTGCTCGACCAGCAGACGAAGCAATTGGAACGTTCACTCCTCTTACTCACTTCATCGGACCTGGATACAAACCTGCAGTTGAAAAAGCTTAACACCTGTGGACGACTTGAGACTCTTGTGAAATTTCGAAACTTGGATACTATGTATTGTTGTCAGTGTCGAAATTTTGCTACCTTTCAGATCGGCATAACGGGCGCTCACGTTTGCGTTTCTTTGCACAATCTATAATGGACAATTAATATAACATGTAAAAGTTCTTGATAAGCACATACGTTACATATGCTTTATTAACAGCTACTTCACATTTACATAGAAACTTAAATGAAGTGGACATGACCCAAGCATAATTACTCTCAAGAGCAAGTGTACGCAACTGTGTACAAGTTGCACATCGAAATCCGAATTGTTACCCAAGTAATGGTCCGTTATAGATTTAAACAGATCGGAAAGATAGCTCGTAACACATCAAGTGGAATTTAAGCCAAAATCACTTCCACTTCTCTAAATACACGCATTCGCACATACACGCACACGCACACACACACACAGATAAATTATCACTAGTCGTTTGCTTCTCGACCCTCGTGGCCGCAGCCATTGCGCGAGTTTTATCCTTCTGATCGCGTCTTAACTGCTCTTTTCCCCATTTACCAAGTACTCTTATCAATTTTATAAGGACAAAACGTTTTCAGCTCCGAAACCGAATTCGGAACAGTGTGGGATCGCGGCTACAAACGCAACGGGTTGAAATACTCAAACGTCAAGACAGCGACGAACAGGGATCAAGTACACATCGACACGTGGGAAATGGATAACGTAACGGGAGCGAAAGCCCTTACCTCGTCCTCATCCACACTGGGAGCTTGATTATTCATGTCGTGTAGAGACTGCCACATCTTGTGAGCGGCATGCCTCTTCGCTACCTTTTTACTCTTTCCTTGACCGACCTCGCGATACTTTAGGATCGAACATACGATAGTGAATTGTCTCTCGTGAGGCAAGCCCTCCTCGCCCTCCATCGTGTACTTCGGGGGTGGCCAGTGCCGTGACATACACATTTCTTGTAAGGCTCCAATTGGATTGTTCACTATTTTCTCCTCCCCGTATGTCTGCAGTTCTTGTAAATTTTGCGAGCTACGTGAACAAGAGAACGTGTACAGAGAGGGAATTATTTTTCACGTACGCGCGTACATTCTCGCGTTTACATTGAGCGCGACTCGTGCTTACTCGGGTAAACTGTTTGGAAGTGGAGATTCTATGCCTTCGGTGTTGACGCCGATTAATTTATCCAGCACGGCTTTCGCGGCGGCGTGTTTCGCCTCTTTTTTGGACCTACCAGTCCCCATCGCTGAAACAATTGGATCTGCCTCTGAATAGTTATGCACTTATCAATCAACGGTACACTGCGGCCTGCGAGAACGAATGCGCGGCGAGTGTCATACGAACCAACGACGTCGGTGACGGTGACTCTGTATCGAAACGTGGGCTCGTGGATCGCGCCCTCGATCTGGACCAGCTCGTACTTGGGTATGGTGCCTCGGCGCGAGAGCAACTCCTGAAGAACGGAGACGGGGGTCTTGCTGGGTAGCGACTTCATTTCCAAACGCGCCGCCTCGTGCAGCGGCAGCTTCTCCAACATCATGGCGTGCAACGTTACGCGGACTCTGTTACGGCGGTTCACGTTGTTCGAATGATTAGGAACGCCACCCACACCAGCCATCATGTTAGGCCCGACCTGCGGTGGTTGGTGCATTTCCTCCATTGTATTCTGGAACAGCGAGAGCGTGTTACGAGGCTGTAACCTTTCCCCAATGTCGGACGCGACCCGGCGAGATGGCACACACGCGGGTTTCGAGTCGCGCGGCGCAAAGTGTACAATTTAACGACACTTCTCCCCTCCCCCCCACCCGCCCCGCGCTTCCCCCCCCCGGTTTGCCTCTGCAAAAGCGTAACTCGTCTCGCGTCCTCGTACCTGTGTTTATCTCTCGGCGAGCAACGACACCGCGTACGCGGGAGCTCGTTACCGCGCGTTGCTCGCGTCCCGCATCCTCGGCCGCTATAAATATCGGAATCGCGACGAACCCGGCCCGAATTTCCGGCGGCGGGGCAATAGCGCGCAGTCATTGAATTCGCGAGCGGGGAGGTCGGGACGCGACGGAGGCAGCGTCTCGCCGGCGACGCGGTCTCGGCGGTGCGTGCCGAGAGGCCGCCGACGGGGACCGGCGTGGCCGCCATGATTGTTGTAAGACCCATCGATTGACCGTAACGGAAGTACGCGTGGAGACTCGCCGGGGACGGCGGTGTCGTTGCGCGGGGAATGCGCGTCTACGCGGCGGCGGCCGCGACGGCGACGGCGACGGTGGTCGTCGTCGTCGTCGTCGCGAGGGACTCGCGCTGCCACCGCCACTGCTATCGCCGCCGCCGCCGCCGTCGCCGTCGCCGACCGGCGCGTTTTGTCCGCTGCGCGGCCCCGCGTAGCCAAAGTCACCGGGAGGGAAGGATACAAACACGCGTCCTTTTTCGCACTTACGATTTTCGGGGAGACGTAGCTGCTTGGAGGATAAAAATGTTCAGCCGGCTCCTCGTCAGGCCAATTCCTATGCGAAAAGCGAATCCCGCTTTTTGTGATCGATCCAAGTCTCACAAAAAGCTTGATCCGTTTGACGACAGAAAAATGGTTCACTGGTTAGCGGAGAATCCCTTCCTCGTTCGCAGCTCTGCGATATCTGTGAGGGTGCCCATGACCGTTCGTGTATGCATGCGTGCGCCGACGATATACCGTGCCGAGTCCACGCAGGCGCGTCACCGGGGGAAGGGAGCGCGCGCGGTAAAACAGCGGCGCGCCGGTCGGTAAGTGCGGAGAGACGGAGTCACATGGACGTCCGCGATCCCGATTGGCGCGCGGTCGGCCAATCGGATCTGAAAGAAGCCGCCTCAGCTTTCGGCCGCGTCTACGTTCATCGCTGCGTTAATGGCGTCGCGTTTTTTTCTCCCCTCCGCGTCACTTGGTCGGTCGGTGTCGCTCGGTGGCTCCGCGTTGTTCTGACGTTCCGTATGCGAGGTGTCGCGGGCCGTTCGTTCTCCAATTGGCGTCATTTAACGGCAGACCGACAGGGGATCGTTCGCTCGCGGGACGTGCGAGTATGGGCCGCTACAGAAGGTAGGCGACACGGCGTTGGCGTACCGGGCTGTCCAGCGAGTCGGGAGCCGCTACCTGCCCTATCCGCGTCGACGGGGAAACCACTTGCGACAGTTGCGACATGAGAGGCTTCGCCTTTCTGTCACGACGGTCGAATCTCCCCCCTGTTTTTCGCGCGAGATAGACACCGGCGACGATCGTCCTCGCCGCACGTGAGAGTCGCGCGGTTCAATATCCCGAGCCAATTTCTCGGACTCTCAGACCCGGTTTCGCCGAACGTCGCTTAACTTTAATCGTAGTTTAATTCACGGTTGTCTCCCGAAGTAACAGTTGGAAACAGACAAAGGACGAACTGAGGTGCGCTTAAAGTTAAACAACGTTGGTGAAACCGGCCTTTTGGGCTCTTCGGTCAATGCCGATGCCTTTTCCACATCTAAGGGATGATCCCGGCTCACCCGGGTGGAACCGTCACACAAAGCACGATTTTGTACAATTTCACTGCGAACTTCAATTCATCATCTTACGTAGAAATGGCACTCGAGTCCACAAGTGGTCTCGCTACGGCGAGTTTTGCCCGTTCGCTCGCTCGGACGAGCCACAGGCAGGATCGCCCTTAGGTGTAGAAAGGACGTGAGCGGAACTAGGGTATCTAATCGCAGTGTACAACTCATTTCAGTCGTAGCCGTGACAGGGACAGGCGGCGCAGGTCACGCAGCCGTTCGCGGAGCAGATCACCGCGCGACCGGCGGAGCTGGGGCGGCAGCGGAGGACGCGACAGGCCGTCCAGCAGCCGCAACAGTCGCGGCCAGCCGGGCGCGAATCTGAGGAAGCCGCGGTGGGACCTCAGCCGGCTGGAACCCTTCAAGAAGGACTTTTATATTCCCCACGACGCGGTGCAGAATCGGGATCTACGTGTCGTAGAGCAATACAGGGTCAAGAAGGAGATCACTCTTAGAGGCAAGGGTATCCCGAATCCCGTCTTCGACTTCGACGAGGCGGGCTTCCCGGACTACGTCCTAAGAGAGATCAAGTGAGCGATGGATAAGTCTTGACGTATGTAACCCGTAATCAGGGTTGGGAAAGTTACTTTATAAAAGTATCTGGTTACAGTTACAGTTTTGTCGTTGAAAGTGTAGCTAGTTGCAGTTACCCTCTTGCGATGAGAATAAAACTGTCAAGTCCGCGTCCGAATAGGGGCGTTTGCGCGCAAGTGCCAAGGCTCGGTGCAATCGGCGGAGGTTGAAAAAAAAATATATATATAAAGTAACTGTCAATGCGAACTAAGTTAAGTTGCAGATGAAGAGAAAGTAACTGTAACTTCGTTACGAGTAACGAGTTACTTCCCAGCTCTGCTCGTGATCGCGGCCGGTTCTCTAAAGTTTCGTTTCGCTTCGTTGCAGAAGACAAGGTTTCAGCGAACCCACGTCGATACAAGCGCAAGGGTGGCCTATCGCGTTGAGCGGACGGGACATGGTGGGCATCGCGTCCACGGGGTCTGGGAAAACGTTATCTTACATACTGCCTGCGATAGTGCACATCAACAGCCAGCCGAAATTGAGTCGCAAAGACGGACCTATTGCGCTGGTCCTCGCGCCCACGCGAGAGCTCGCCCAACAGATTCAGCAGGTCGCCGATGACTTCGGCCACTCGTCCGGCATCAGGAACACCTGCCTGTACGGCGGCGCGCCGAAGGGCGCTCAGGCCAGGGATCTGGACGGCGGTGTAGAAATAGTCATCGCCACGCCCGGTAGATTACTGGACTTTCTCGAGTCCGGCAAGACGAATCTGAAAAGATGTACATACTTGGTGTTAGACGAGGCCGACAGGATGCTGGACATGGGATTTGAGCCGCAAATCAGAAAGATCATAGAACAAATCAGACCGGACAGGCAGACGCTGATGTGGTCAGCGACGTGGCCTAAGGAAGTAAAAAATTTAGCCGAGGATTTTCTTAAAGATTACGCTCAAATCAATGTTGGTTCTTTGCAACTTTCAGCAAATCATAATATATTGCAGATAATTGATGTGTGTCAGGAGTATGAGAAAGAGACTAAGTGAGTATAAGAGTTTCGAGCGTAGCTTATTTAGCTTCTCGCTAGCAGTTATCAGCGATAATTATCAGATATCAGTCCCAAAGGGAAAGCTGTCATGTCACGTTTTTATAGATTAAGTACGCTATTGAAGGAGATAATGGCGGAAAGTGAGAATAAAACTATAGTGTTTATCGAGACCAAGCGCAGAGTGGACGAGATAACGAGGAAAATGAAGCGCGATGGCTGGCCGGCGGTTTGCATTCACGGCGACAAGACGCAACAAGAACGGGATTGGGTTTTACAAGGTATTCACCAAACACTTAATGCCTACGCGCCTCTTGCCAACAACGTTTAAGTGAAAATTAACGCGCAGGTACATACTTATGTCTAACTTGTAGATTTCAGAACAGGCAAGGCACCAATCCTTGTTGCTACAGACGTCGCTGCGCGCGGTCTTGGTAAGTCATTGGAATTTCTCCATTGTTCATGACGCAACGATGTCGTGTATTATCAGTCAGTTTTTTCCTGCAACACAGAAAACGAACTGGTTTAATATTCACGGTGTTAATTTTTCCCCAAAGATTATTAAATTTTTTTTTCTCTTTTTTACAATGCTCTATTCTGACCGAAAATTTAACGAGTCTTAACTGTAATGTAATGTTCCGTTAAAAGCTGAAAGATGTAAGCAGTTTCGCAAACGTTTCTTCTTTTTTTTTCCGACTCGCGAGGATCTTTCGAGTACGATTTTGTGCCATGTGAAATTGGAATATTACCGGGATGCAAGTCGATCCTATATATAGTCTCTGATGCCATCGGACAAGCCAAATCTCGTATATGCGGAGGATAACCGAAACCAAATGTTTCGTTGCGTAAGAGCTATCCTTGGCTCAACTTAATTTACATTCCATTTGTCAACGCAAACAATCGGTTTGCAGCGTACGTCGCATTCGAGTCCGGGTTCTCTTTCGAACGAACGGGACATTACAGCTTTAACGTGTGTTGTAAGCTTAAAGTCAGCAAGAATGTAGGAGAGGAATAGGGCAAAAGGAAAAGAAAAATAGCAAAAAAAAAGAGCATATTGAAACAGGAGGATGGTTGGAGATAACCATACAGCTAACGCGGTTGGATCTTTGTTTGTATTGCAGAGGCACATTGCGCGCAGGCCCACGCTGGGTAATGCAAAGCATGTCGGGGGTGCCCGCCGCCGCTCTTTGTTCGGTGGTGCACTGGTTTGCATTGTCTGCGCTGGCCGCGACGCCGTGCCTCTATCCGTCCGTCCGTCCGTCCGTCAATCGCGTGTGAAGGGCCAAGTCCGGGGCCAAATCGGGGTCTTCTACTACTACTACTACCACTACTACTACTACTACTACTTTACCTACCTACCTACATACTGGATATCAGTCCTACTGCGCTGCGCTGTACGCCATCCGGGCTGGCTGGCCAGGTCGTTGTTGCCAGAATAGAGTCCCCTGCGCTGGCACGCTCAAGCTAATCAGACAACCAACAACGTTGGTCCGTTGAGGCGGTGGCATGTGATAGCAGATATGCCAGAGCCTCTCTTAGCGCGCCCTGCGCCCTGCGCCTGTAGCGACAGAGTGGCGGAGGCAGTAGCTGGAGCGAGCGCAAATAGCCAGGCCCTGCCCGTACGTTGCTAGCGAAACACTCGCCCACTGCCTAATATTTTAGTATTACATAGTTCAAGTTTTATCAGTGACATACACATACACACGCATACACACACATACACACACATGTACACAGGACACATCTGTATACGCGTATATATCGACACACGTGTCTGTCTGCAAGTGATAATTATTCCTAACTTGCGGGGAATGTCTGTCGAAGCTACTGGCCAATTCAGCCGTCTGCCTGTGCACACGTGTACGCATATATACGCGTATAAATGCGTAATATCTCACAAGCCTACCACTTAAAACTGTATGCATTTTTTTTGGTCCTCTGTCCTTCTAGCCCTTGTGATATAACTACATCATACATCGGTCGCATTTCATCATACTAACTATTGTATCGTCACGTCATCTCGTACAACGATTCTGGTCTTTTCTCCGAGTTGCCGATCGCTCGCGTTCAAGACCTCAGGCGCGTCTCACCTTTCATTTCCCAAACACACGGCGAAATGAGAATACTCGCGACACCCGGGTGAGAAAGATCAGGATCGTTCTCGGTTCAACAATTTTGTTTTTGTTTCTCGTTCATGCTCTCTAGACGCTCTCAAATAAATATTCACAACGCGTTCACTTGTTAAATGACAAAAAAAAAGAACGATATATTATAGCAAGAGATTGCTTTTTAACGGAATTCCTTATATTTCTTTTTGCAATCGGCACGAAAAGAGAGGGGCGACGTGACATTTCGGATTATTACGTAGCTTCTCGGGGAACGCGTTGAACGTTATAATTTACTGCGGTATAGCGTCCGGTAAATATACTTCATACTCGACTCGCGGTGTTTCACAATCCTTGCGACACTACTACTTTCTTAACCCATGTCTGTCCTGAACGCTGGAACACTACGAAGATCCGGCTGGTCTAATGCCAACTCTTAATTTCAGACGTTGAAGACGTCAAGTTTGTCATCAATTTTGACTACCCCTCCTGCTCCGAGGATTACGTCCATCGTATCGGTCGTACCGGCCGCCGACAGAAGACCGGCACGGCGTACACCTTCTTCACGCCTAACAACGCCAACAAGGCTAACGATCTGATACAGGTGCTGGAAGAAGCGAAACAGGTGATAAATCCGAAACTGCTGGAGCTCGCCGACAGTAAAGCTGGCGGCTATGGCAGGAACAGAGGTAAAACTCTCGGAAACAATTGCTGAAAGATCGCATAAAGTATAAGATCGTACAAAGATCGGCTGGATCGTTATTTGGCAGGTGGAAGAAACCGATGGCGATCGCGAGGCGGAGGCGGTGGCGGCGGCGGCGGCGGTGGCGGAATTGGCGGTGGAAGCCGTAACGGAAAAGATCGCAGCTACTCGCGAAGCAGAAGTCGAAGCTACAGCAGAGAACGCAACGGCCGCGGCAGTAGACGAAGTTACAGCCGCAGCTACTCGCGAAGTCGTAGCCCCGTCAGCAATCGTAACGGTAAATCGCTATGTTATCCGGAGACCTGTTGACCCCCCGTGGAAGGTCAATACTAACGAGAGATCGTTTCTCCTCAGAAGTTATCGGCAAGAGTTATTGGAGTAGCGAGAGATGATCTTCCAGCGGGTAAAGAATGCGTGTGTTGCAACGCAGGTAATTTGTTCTATTTTTTTTACCTCCTACGGTACGAGCGGTGGAAAAAAAATGAACTGTTTCAACGACACATTCGCTATTCGCGAGAGACGACATCCTTTGCACCGAGCTCGACGGGCCGCGCGCTGCTATTACAGATCAAATTTCTTGTGTGCAGCGGCTTTTAGTCTGCACGCAACGCGCACCGCGTGTACCCCGTCGAATTCGGCAACCAGATTTCTCGACCGCGGTACGATTGATAGTTTGCTGGCCGTATTTACGCGAATTTTTAACGTCAGCTGTTTTACATAAGACAAACCCTTGGTCCGGGTGCGCATGCAATACCGACGCGTATTTGAGCGGAGATTTACCGTGTACTTGCTAGTGATGAAATGTGCTGTCCTGTCTTTTACTTCCTTTCGCATCCCTGTGCTGCATCTGATTACTTCCCTTTCAAGCATTATCAATATTGTATACACCGGTCTATATAGATTAGATAATGCAAATCCATTACGACGCAAGCTACCGTTTATACGTTTTTACAATGCTAACCCTCGCATCTCACCACGACGTGAGAAGACTAGGCCGACGTGAGCGAATAATGTGTAAATTTCATCATACGAGCTAAACTTCCACATAACGGTGTTTACTTAGTATGTATTTGTAGTTTATAATAAATTATAGATGTCTGAGCGCGCGCGCTTATATTTGTAATTCATCCGTCTGTATTTAGGCAATTACGACAAACGATAGTAACACTCGATGTACAGTATTTCAATGACGTGATAAATAAATTCGTAAATATCTACGCTATCTCGTATTCTATCTTGCGTGCACGCTTTTGTGGCACTCGCTCGACTTTCCCGACGACTCGCGCCGCATCGGCGAACATTTACCTGTAACGATATCTGTAAATCATACGCACCTTGCGTCATCTAGCAAACTAGTCGTTTGTATTTAAGAAAAATAGGTGAGAGATTATGGTCGTCTCGTTTGATCGTCGCTAGAACCTTTTTCTACGGGAGAGTGACAACCAAAGTGACTCACGTGCAGGGTGTCGGTTTTTCTCGCCTGTTCTGTTTAATTTAATTTTTATCTTAATTACAGTGGTAGTGTGTGTACTTAAAGATCTTACGGTAATTTTAGAATAACCGAATTCTGTTTTCTTTTATCCCGTCAGCTCGGTTGTTCTCCGTGCGTCAACCTCGTTTGGCTCGCTTTGCGGATTGGCCGACACTTCACGGCCGCGTAAGGTACTCGACGACAGGAAATGAATATTACCCGAATATATAAGGTGTACACCGGCGATGTAATTGACGATCTAACAAGTTCACGTGGGAAGATTCCTTCTTTTTCTCTCGTTCTTTCTTTCTGTTTTTTTTTATCGGACTATGTGCCACGATACAAATTTATTATGTTACACATCTTGGAATATCGTGCGCTTAAATGCACTCACGAATCACAAACATGCAATATCTTTCTTACGTTCTCGAGGTGCGTTCTCGCTAGAGTCGATTGTTCCGCCGCTTTCGCCGCGGTAGGACACAATCTTTCATCGATTATTATGGACAACGTACAATATCCGCTCGTCGATACTTATCCGGGGCGAGCGTGGTTTTTAAGGAATTAAATCGAGACGGGAGAGGAGGGTTGCGATCGACGTCGAACGATCGCCATCGCGAGGAGGTCCTGCGCAGCCTCGAGCGGAAACCCGGGATCGCGCCTCCCAGCTGACCAAAAGACACAGTTTCTAGGATATATTCTACCAGGCCGCATCGCGTTCCACGCGTAATTTTCTTGTGATTTGGTGTAAAAATTTACCGCGCTTGTCAACTTCAGGGTGCTGGGGGACCGTTCGAAGGGCGCGCCGCACCTCCGGTCGAGGCCGCTCGCGGATCAACGCGATTCCCTCGTGGGACACGCACGGATATTCGTATGTGTGTGCGCACACGCGTGTAACAAGCTCCTCGCGTGAGTTGGGGTTAAAGGAGGGATTTATTTTTTTTTTACAGGGCTCAGCATGCTTCGTTCACATATATTACAACGTACGCATATAACAATAACATTAAAACCCTTTTAGGTGTGTCTTCGGACGTGGGAGAGAGAGCTATGGCGCGCTTATAATTATATCCGCGATACAACAGGATCGTACTTTGTGTGCGTGCGAGGGTCATATATTCATGTGTATGTTGTACAAGTTTCTTGCATGTGTGTGAACGTGTGTGTGTGTGTGTGTGTCTGTGTCTTTGGGTATGGTGAGACACTATGTATTTCTTGATGTGCGGATCGATCTCGCTTGGACCGAAGTGGCTCCAAGCAAGCAAGTGACGAGTGTGAGGGTGAGAGTGAAAATTTTACACGGTCGTCCTTAACTTCCGGTCACCGTGTACCCTCCTCAGCGTATGCGAACGCCCCGTACTTCCGATCCTTTACTCCGGAATTCGTTTCTTTCCTCCGGCGTTACGACGCTGGAGCGTGCGTGCAGCAGATTCGACGAAACCATGGCGTTCGCGACCGCTGAGGACGGTACATGGTCGTTAACTTCTGGTCACCATGTACCGTCCTCAACAGACGCGACCGCCATGCACTTCCGATTCTGGACTCCGGAATCCTTCTTTTTCCTCCGGCGTTACTGGAGCTGAGGAGGGTACGCGTCTGTCGGTGACACGTGCTTGCGCGTGCGTGCAGCAGATTCGATGAAATCTATAATTAAACGTCAGTCAATTGTCCGCAGCCGCCAAAGTAGTCGGAAGCCCCGTCTTCAAGACCAGGGAGCAGCGGCTTCTCGAAGAGGGGAAGCGAATCGGTGGTAGACGAGACGAGACAACGCGTCTTGGAAGCAGTTCTCGCAAATCAAACGACGCAAATCGAGTCTAATCTTTCATTTTTAACACAAGCCAAGCTCAGGAAGAAAGAAGGCTCTCGGAGAAGGACGTTTCCTCCTCGCTCGTTACAACCTTATACGGCGTTGCGATGTGTCAGGGAGATCTCGTGGTCTCACGCGCGAAGATATAATCTCTCGATCGTTTTCTCTCTCTCTCGTGACTCCTCGCGTGAGTAGAAACAAAGCGAAATACCCCGGAACACGACGCGCTTGTCGTCGAAATCGGTTCTTTTTTTTCTTCTTCTCAAGAATGACGCGAAGGGTTTCACGCGGATCATCCTATTAACGATCCCTAGTGGATCCCTGCGAGAGATTTCGCAGCTAATTAGGTCTGTTAATTCGAACCGTGCGATGCCGGGCATCGGACGAGCTTCGCTAATATAGACGCGTGTTCAGCGCGCGGGATACGCCATCGAGTGGCTCGTTTAACGCACCTACGCGCGCCGCGTCTCGCTATACGTACAGCCGACGAGGCGCAAGGACAGATCTATCGCCGATCTCTACGTGTAATTGTTTCGCAAATACTGGCTTTGTGTCCCCTTTAAGTCTCTCGCGTAGACACACACGGAGAGACATCCCTAAATATACACGGTGTCGCGCCCGGTAGCTTCGCGCGGAGAAGCCGGTAATGCCGGGTGTCCACGCGTACTATATCCAAACCGCATACACACATACGCACGTAGACGCGATACAGATGGGCACCGAGTAGAACGGGCTCTACGAAATAATTCAACGGGAAAGTGAGAAACGAGGGTGGCCACGTGTCTACGGTTCTATGCTGGAATATTTGGACGCAGCTGTGTAATGAGAACCAAGCGCCGCTTTCATGATTTTTACTTACATTGCAAAGTGACCTCGAAGGCCTGTATATATTATGCAGATATCCAACTTTTAACTATTAAAAAAAACACATGGGATTGTATCTGAGAAGTTTAGTTCGGGCGCTCCATTTCAGATAACGTCGGCGTAGACTTTTAAGATCGCGTAACAACGTGGCGTTTTGAGGAAAAATTGACAAAACTCCCATAAAACTCTTCAAAATGTTATCCCACGATTGCACGCGATTTTCAGAGCGAATTTCAAGAGAAAACGATCTCCGTGCACCAGGCTTGGAGTTGCGGTTCTGCATTGCAGAACTGCGTCCATTTGAAACTCGAGCGTAAGGAATGAAGATTTGGTGTTCCGCGATTATTGCTATAACAATACGTTCGTGATAACACGGTTACTGGTTCGGATACCTTACGCATAGACGCGCAACTGGCACCGGCGGATCGTTCCCGATTACTATACATCCGAATCTACGCAAATTTATTGGCCCTCTTCTCGCGCCGGGATCGCGCGCAGCGAGAGGGCGGAAAATTTGATGACGAGTCACGGGTCGAGAGATTACAATGTGCACTTGCTCGATTCTGCCCGATTTCGCCAATGCTAAACGTTGAATTTTCAGGAAAACGATAATCAATCTCGCTCGGCACAAGGTGCATTTTACTGCTCTACGGCGGGAGAGCAATCTTCTCCCCGAAAGGGTCAAAGAGAAACAGATCCGTGCGGGTGTACCTCGACTGCCGGGGATCGTCCGAATGAAAAATAATTCTCGCTCGCTAACGACTCGGTTTTCACCCCTCCGGGATTTAGAGAGGTCTGCCTAAACGATCCTCGGATAATCTTGCTTGTGAATCGTGACGTAAATATAAACTCGTTTACCCTCGCAGCTTGGTATCCTCTATACCTTTACGGTGATATTTTGCGAAATGTGCGGCGATTCGTTATAAAAAAACACCGCGAATGACATTTATATCTGCATTTAGGACGATTAATCGCTTTCGTGAAGACGCGTTCCGTTCCTATCGCGCTTCACGGAACCAGGAAGGCTTGTTGTGCCCGGAGGACAGATTGGCTTTCCGCTATCTATAAGAGCGTGCCGTCGAATCTCGGAGCGACGAGATCAGTTTATCGCGTCGACCTGATGAATGTAAATCTTACGTGACTTCTTTTTTTTTTATAGAAAGAAGAAGTGACTTATCTGACGCCTGTCCCTACGGGTACAACACGCTGTCCTACGGAGGCGCGAGATGCTCGCCGATGTCGCGGGGCGGGTTGTCGAACCCGCGAGAATCTCGCTTCTTACGCACGCGCTTATGTTATCGGTTTGCACGAAGTAAAAGGAAGACGCGGCGACGACGAACGGGGAAGAACTGGGGTGCGATCGGGCAGGTCGCGCAACGACGAAACCTCATCCCGTCGGAGCCACTAGCCGGCATTAACTTCCCTTCGATCGATTCGTCAGTTTCAAAGTCGGGGGGCGCGACGTCGTCATCCGCCCGATCGTCCCCCCCTCGCTCTTCGTAATCCACCACCAGAACCTTGGGGTGTGCCTTCGTCGTTGCCGGCGAAACGCCGGCCGCCATGTTGCCTCTCGCTTAAGGGTAGCGTCTCCCGTCGTGTTTCAAAAAATACAATCGTCCGCACCGCTTTCTCTCTTTTTTTTTTGTGTTTTTCTCCTTTTCTCTCTCTTTGTGAGCACGTTCTGCGTGTCTTCGTCGTCTCCTCGTTCCAACCGCGAGGTCGACGGCACCGCAGCTCCTCGACTGACTTGGTCGACGGGTAGATTTCCGGGCGCGGCGTCGCCGATCTCTTCTGAGCAATATACGTGGGAGAGCCAACCCCGTGTCGCGTCGCCGGGGAGTCCCCTTCGGCACTGACGCCGTTCGGGAACGGGAACGTCCGCCACATCGCGACAGCGGCGGTCAGGACAGAGTGGGGTTGATTCCTGTGCCGCGTACACGCTACGTGCTGCATACGTGCGCACACTTGCGGCACGAGAGACATCCCCATTCTAGCCCCACCGCCGCTATCACAATGTGGCAGACGTTCCCGAACGGCGTCAGTGCCTCCGGCCGAACGCCGTCCCGGGGGTAGCGGAAACAGGAAAATACGTTGCACGCGGCGTGCGATGCGGCCGCTTCGTCGATACTTCGTATCGCGAACCCGCGGTCGCCCTCGGCTCGCACCCGCGTCTATGTCAATCCTTATCCGGGCTCCGGGATAATCTTCGCGAGAAAGGGAAACCACGCTGGACTTACCTCCCTCGTTCGTTTATCGTTTATCTCTAAATTCGCCTTCGCGTTCGCCGATTCGCGTCGAATAATCGCCAGCGCGAACGTCAGCTCATTTTCTTCGCGGAAAGACGGGCTGCCCGGACGAGGATTGAGCCTAGCGATACCAAGACACATTGTACGTTATCAGTGACGGAAGAGCAGGGAGATGCTTTTCTGAGATTCACCGACACAATTAAATTACAACGACTGTGCGCGAGTCCCTTTGTCTCTCCAATTTCACCTATCGCGACAACCGTTTCCTCACACGTTCCATTTAAATTGCACGGGATAAATAAAAAAATACGACAAGATCATTCGAACACGAGCCTCCGAGGCTCCGGTCCGCGTCGCTTGGTACCGCTAGAATTGATAAATCCGCCAGCTCATACCAACAGGCTGCTCTGTATGCACACCCGGAAGATCATCGGAACACCCGGCACCTTTCTAGACATACTAGATAGCTTCCAATATTCTATGTTTTAGGCTCGAATGTTCCGCGACTGATCCCTCGTGTGCATCTCGACGCAGCCTTGAGAAGGGATGACACGTGACACGGCGAGACAACGTCGATCATTCCTGATCGAAACGAAACGAACTCTCGCGTGATGCGCCGTTCACCCTCGTGTCGGCGCGGCCGCCCATGTCCCATATGGCGATCGAAGTGAAAGCACATTGTCTCGGCGTGCCGCGCGTTATCTCACCCCGTCTTACGGTAATGTTTATTGGATCCGGCGAACCGTCCGACGTTAATTTCGCAACGACGGACCGGTCCGTGGTCCGACGACGCGCAATCTCGCGCAACGTAGATATAGTTATACTTATAAACTTTATGGTTTTTTTTTTCTTTAATTGTTAACAGGCCGTGGCTATACAGGGCCCACTACGCTTTCAGTTCAGTCTGTGGCACGCGGTCTTCCGAGCGGATCATGAGGTACGATGTGCATGTATGCTTGCCGTGTGTGTGTATATATGTGTGTGTGTGTGTACGTGTACGTGTACATTGTGTAAGATTAGTACGCACGATGTCATACGTAATCGTCCTCATCATTTTGACCGTCGCGAGATGTCTACCGAACGTTGCTAACATCCTCGTTGTCGCCTTGGATGATCCTCGTCCTGGAATATTCCTGTTTCGGGCGCGGGCAGTGGAGGAATCTCCTCGTCCAAGTGGTCGGTCCTCGTCGAGCTAACGCGATCTAATTAGCGTGATCGTCGATGTTACGGCGTGTTGATTTACGATCTTGTATAAAATTCGCCTCGGTGTTTCCTCAAGGATTTCTCCGACTTGACAGACCGCACTCGGCTTGGCTTCGTACACGTGTGTGAGCTCCGTATACGCTTCTCTCCTCCTCTTCAGTTATTTATGCCCATGTTGTCGTCGCCGCGAAACAGATAACTAGACCAGTACGCGAAATTGAAGAAAAGGAACAAGAGGGGGAAGGCAACGCGCGAGATGATGTCAATCCTCGCGCTGCCTTGGGCATGACAGGTGAACCATTTCCGCGGCAGGTCCCAGCAGCGCGTTTGCGACGACACCGTCGCCGACGTGAGCGTCAGTGCCGCGGACGAGGTCGGTGCTGCGATCGGCGGCGAGGGCGTCGCGGCGCGCGACGGCGTGCCCAGGGGCGACGCCGAGGAGGTCGGCGAGGGCCATCGCGATGGTGACAGCGACGACCTCGCCGAGCTTCTGCGCGAGTGGTGTCGCGATGGCCTCATCGGCGAGCACCGGCCGGCGACGCAATCTTCGTCGTTCAACAGCGAGAAAGACGGCGACGGCGAACGATTCGGATGATAGCGCTGATGACGATGTAACTGATGATGATGATGGTGCTGTTGTTGCTGCTGCTGCTGCTGCTGCTGATGGTCTTGCTGATACGTGCGCGGCAGCGAATGATGTTGCGTCATCGACGGATTGCCGGTGCGATGAGTCTGCTGTTGCTGCTGATGATAGAAATGATTATGATGAGGATTGTGATGATGGTGATTCTGAGAGGAATGGTGATGATGATGATGATGATTCTGAGGATGATGGTACAGTTGTCGTTGACGAGGACGCGAACGTTGTTGCGGCGGTCGTGTCTGTTGGAATTGTTGCTGAAGATGGCCGCGAGCCACTTCCCTTGTTGATCCGAGCGCTTCCTCCTGATTTACTCGTTCCCCTCTTCCTCCCGAAACAGGTACGTGGACCAGTACGCGAGGTTGAAGAAAGCGAATACGATTGGGAAGAAGATCCGTGAAATGACGTCGATGCGCTTGGACCTCGTCGGGAACTTGGACAGCCACGACCTGCAGCAGTTTTTTTTCCGTGGTTGCATATGTATTTCGCACTGCTGCAATTTATCCATCGACATGGAGTCCTCCGGGTGTCGGACCAGAGGCTTCTGAAAGGATTCGGGTGATGTTGACCCATTAATTTCTCGTACACTTCGACTCTGCTCCTTGACTCAAACAATTTCGATCCTACTCGAAACAAGTTCGATTCTCTCTCTCTCTCTCCCTCCGCCGAGTAAGAGCTCAACTCCGTAATCTCATTTTCATTTAGGAGAGACGTCTAGGAAAATCTCGAGCTCTCGTTTTTTTCGACGTGCAAAAACTCGGAATTTCTAATTGCAATTCTTCGAGAGCTCGCGGAAGAATTCGAGAAGAAAGTGGCTATCGCGGAGATATATCTTGAACGTGCGTCCGGAGACGCTCGAGGAATGTCATCTCTCGGTATACTGACCATGGCAAAGTTGGCGGATCCATCCGGCTCGAGCAGTTCCGAGGATGGGTCGATCGACGACGAGTGTTCCATGTCGCTCGACGAGAACTGCTTCTTATTTATGTTGTCGCTGTGCATGTCGCTACGCGACGCGTAGTTGACCAGCGCGAATTCGAGCAGTGCGCCAAACACGAAAGTCAAGCACACCCCCGTCCAGACGTCGATAGCCTTCGTGTAGGAGACCGGTGGCAGTGAGGCGTTTATCCCCGATGTCTGCGTGGCCATCGTCAGCAGTGTCGTAACGCCTGGATGAGAGGAGACTTTGTAGTTTCTCATAATTAACCAAGGGGAATCGATAAACGCAATTAACCAACGTCCATAATACGCGTCGATCGAAATTTGCCCCTTTTTTCTTCCTTATAGGACCGTCGCGTTCATTTCTGTTTAAACGATTCGTTCCAATGTGCGCGTCGCAGCTCTTTGCAATTTTACTTTGAGGCAGATTTAGAAATAGATTTTACTTCCTTGAATAGTTTATCGATTTGCGCGTACGAATTTGGAGTAGATTGCGCACATCTTGGAGAGTCTACGTCAATCTCTATCTTGCGATAATCGCGCTTCACTCCTCGCCTATCTACTACTAGCAGAGAGAAAACTGAGAGCGGCCACGCCGGCGTTTTACTTGATACCGTTTTTATATTTAAGGATCGTTTTAAATATATCAAAATGCTGTTCTAAATCACCATCAAGGCACGCTTCGTCAAATTATCATTATCTTGTCATTATTTCGACTACTCGTATCCCTCATCAATTTGATGGCATCAATTTTGACATCACTTTGATTAGGCTGTTTTCACTGGGAATCCCTAGCGGAAAAAATTTCTACAAATAACTACAAAAATTGACTTGAAATAGAAATTTTTATATCTTCGTTGAAATATTTTTTTTTGTAAAAATATCTACGAAATAGCACCACAAATTACAATGTTCTCAAATCGAGAAATTATTGCAAGTAGTATTTCATGAAATGTACAATTTTGTAAAAATTAGTACAAAGCTGTACTAGTTAAAAAAAATTTGAGAAACAACAAAATCTTAAAGAATTAAAACGTCTGCTTACTTGTGGAATATTACAAAAATTAACAAGCGTGTTCCAATTCTCGAATTTTCATGTTGATTTTTTAACACTTTTTAAACTTACGTAGAATTTCTTAGATTCTGGCAGTTATATTTTATAGTTTTGTAGAATTTTATATTCCGGCAGGGTAGTGCGAGCAACCGGGCAAAATTCGCTACTAATTATAATTCCGAGTCATTACGCGCATACAATTTTATACTTGATACGTCGCTTAGATAATAATTTATACCTAGTGACACCCGGGCAGGCACGGCGCTCTGATCCAGCCAGAAAGACACCCAGGACACGATAACGAGCATGCAGCACGGGATGTAGATTTGAATGAGATAGTAACTGAATTCCCTCTTGAACAGCAGGTCCACTTTCAAGCAACTGTACTCTCCTGTTTTTTTTCATTCCGTCGTAAGAAGCGTTAGATTATACGAGTTCATCAAGGTATTTCCTTCTCGGCGCAAGTCTCCACTTACCGGTGTTCGTCTTGCTATTGCAGTAGTCCGTGAGGAATTTCTCGAGGGTGAACCGGGGCAGATGTAAATTCTTGACCACTTGAACGGGGTCGCCTTCCTTCCAGAGAAAGACCAAATCGTTCGTCGTCCATCCATCTGTCGGGACGTACGAGAAGGCGGTTATTATTGGAGACGAGCGGGTTACCTCCGTGTAACGTTTAACGAAAAAACACTTATTGCGAGACTAATCGAAGCTAAATAGGGCGGAAAACGAGCTTTTCCGAGTCTACTTACAGCTGGCCATACGAAGTGAGCAAATTTGTCGATCCAGGGGATACAGTTTCAAATTCATGGGACACGAGAGCGTCAAGGATATCCTGCGCCAGGGGAAGAAAAACAGCCATGGTTTATACAATGCCGGTGGAAGTAAGAACCCAATTCGCAACGTAACGAACGGGCGCGCGCGCGCGCGTGTTTGGTCATCCCGCACGGTACACAGGATGGGAATCCCCGCTTGTGTACATTAGCCAAGCGAATTTCGCGACGTTTGATTATCACGAGGGTGAGGCGCGACGGGGATAATGCATCCCCGTCTGTACATCGAGGGGTTGCGCGATTTCAACGCCGGCCACACAGGCTCGGTCCTCACGGAGGGGGGGAAAAAAGGAAAGAGAGAAAAACGCCTCGACGATCCTTCGTATAAAAAAAAATTGCGCAATCTCGCTGATTAGGCTGACTCCGCGTTCGCCGGACGCTGATTGTACTCATAACGCCGGTACTTACCGTATGCTATAAAGAACCGAGCCGTTCGGGAAAATTCGTATGTATACGTTGGGCATAATGATGTTGTGGAAGTGACCCTCCTTCTCGTTCGAGAAGAACAGATCCGGCATCCAGACGCGATTCGCCTCCGTCAGGGTTAAATACTTAAGTCGACCTGCAACGTTCAACGCACAACGGGGGACCAGCCCCGTGAAAAATCGACGTACGTTAACGAATACGGTATCGCTCGTTAGCGTTCATTCAGTAAGCAGAAAGCGCGGACATGAGCGGCAATTTGCGAGAGGGAGATAAAAATAGCCGCTATTAAATTTGCGTAACGACCGGCGGCGCGCGAATAAAATGTTACGACCCGCCCTTTGCGGTGCGATGTAATTGCAATGTGAAAAAAATATATATATATATATGCTATGCATCAATGCCCTTTTGCGCGCCCGAACTTATCGCGCTGACCGCAGGATATCGGTTTGTGCGGATATTATTGCGTAAAGATACTCTGGCATTTATAGAAAAATAAAGGTAGGATGAGCTTTGACCGGACTTTTTGATTTTTCCATTGCAACCTACGGGGAACGTAATCCCCGCCTTCGAAACTATTATTCCCGTATTCACACGGCGCGACGGCGCCGTGTACACGCGTGACCGCTACATCGCCGTTGTTTCTATTTTATAGCGCCGTGACTTTTATCGGCGACGAAACATCGATACCAGAAGCGTGGAAAATACAAACTGAAAACGAGCATGAAATGTGATTGTGAACTTTACGTACCTCCGAAGTCATTAAACCGTAATCTCTCATCCAACCATTGTTCCCGAAATGTTAATTGTACGGAGTATTCCTGGAGAGAAGAAGAATAATTGCGATTAAACAGCGTCGCGCGTTATGTCGGCGAGTAATGTAACGAGTAATATCCTTTCTCCTCTCAGCGAACGATAGTCCTTCCAATTATTGAGTTCCGTAAAGAAGAAACGTGAAGGAGAACGTGCGTAATGAAATAACGAGCAACGGAAGCCTAAATCCATCTCGAATCAGATATTACTTGCGACGGCAGCGCAGTCTTTTGCGAAGAATGAAGGAAAAATAGCTCCTTGCGTAAGTGATAGCTTTGCATTTAACGAGGAATTGTAATTATAATTTCAATTGCGTTTTTCAACCCGGCAATTATCATCCTCGGATCCCGGCATCCGCGATAATGTTCCAACGCGGTGGAATCTAATAAAAAAAATATAAAAAAAAATCCGAACGAGCTTCAATAAAGAAATTTATTTCTATCGCGTAATCTTTTTCCCTCCTCTTTGTACATATATACTCGATAAAAATTCCGCATCTATAAAAAGCGATTATTCACACGTCTCGCAACAGAGAGAATTTCTCTTTCCATTTATAATATTATCGCCAATCTGGGACGTGCAACGCCAAACTGGTCGTCGATATTCTTACCATAAAAAAAAACGAAGCGTTGATACACACAGATATGGATTGCAGTTTTATATCAGAGAGCTGTATTCTTGTGGGACGAATATTCTGACGTCGTCCTGCCAATTGACACAGTTGCGTGTCTTTTAATTTTTCCAAAAAAAAAAATAGATCCGATACCACACACGGAATAAAAAATGCTGTTGAATGAAGCGAAATGAAGTCGCTTGAATTAAACGTCACGGGCTGCCGCAAATTTTGATTTTAATATTAAATTTAAGCATTAAACTAAATATCCAGATTATTAAGACGACAATCTGATTTTTTCATTTATTGCCACCGATGTTGTTTCGACGATTTTATTTCAATTGCACCGATCTTGTTGCTGCAACATCATTTTTTTTTCCGTGCACAATTATACGTTGTATCGCACAACGAACGAAGTGAGATACAAAAATATTTTCAGGAAGATTATGCGATTTTGGTCGAAAGATTAACGAGATCGGTGACATTCGAGACACCCATTTTCATCCACATCTGCGGTATTAATCTCCCTTGGCGTGATCGCGCACGTCGATAAGTGAACTCGTCACTCGGATGGAACTGATGCATCTAGGTGGAAGGACGTCATTTTATTGAGTTGCACCTGAGGCGACGTGCAACGCGCGTCAATCCGTGACGACTATCTATCATCTGGTAATGTGTGTGTCGAGAAATATGGAACAGAAGACCGGAGATGTTATGTCGCAGCGGTGGGAAAAGCGTCCCGGGAAGACGAAATCCTGATTGGGCGTGAATTATTGAAACGCATCCGGGGACGCTTTTCCGGGCGGTAAAGCGATCATGCGACTCGAGGGCGTACAAGCACCGACAGGACATCAATAGCCGATCTGTCGTCAAATGCTCCGAATAACACTGGCGCAGCCAAGGAGATGGGGTCGGCGGGGGGTCAAGGGCCATGCAAAAGCGAACACCGAGGACCTACCAGATGTAATCAGATCAAATGCCAGAAATGTCTCGGGCACTATTGCGCAATCTGTTAGCGGTAAAAGACAATGCATGCAGTTTCGCTCACGGTGTTCTCGTGTTCTCCAGCTCGCCTGCGGCCGTTCCTGCGGCGGCGCGCGAAGAGTCCTGCGCCCTGTTTCCTATTTCAGAAGGGGGTAAAAGGGAGTGCTTTCGCAAATACATGTTTCTTTCTCCTTCCTCCTTTTTCTCCTATCTTCCCCTTCCTTCCTCCTTGCTTCCTTCGACCTACCGACCGCCGAATTTCTCGTCTATTCCTCCGCGCTCGGTGCAGTGCAGTTTCGCTCTACGGTATTTTTTAACGTGAAAAAACGTTCCGTTGGCCCTTCTCTCTCTCTCCTTTTTTTTCGTCCTAACTTCTTTATCCTGTCGGCTTGCGGTATTAGTTTTCACTTTAAAGTGTGTGCTCACACTCGCGCGTGCTTCGCTCCTCTCCGCTCCTCCACTTCTAACTCGTCCGATAGCACGTGGTTTTGTTCCGTCGTTAACTTTTTAGCGACTCGGCCGTATTCGCACGCATCTAATATCGGCGGAAAGTTTCTGAAAAATTGAGGAACATGCCGCCAAACGGGGATTCGAGACCGATCGCCCTCTCTTCGGGCGCGCTTTCGTTCGTGCGTTATTCTTTTTCCTTCTCTCTCTCTCTCTTTTTTTTTGCACAACGCGTCGTTTTTCTTTTCTTTTTTTCAGCAATACATCACTCACAGAGAAATAAAATACGCTAAACGCGTGGATGCCCGGTTTGTACTTCAAGGTACTTATCCTTCCCGTGTAACACGACGAGCTTTTCTTTGGGAACAGGTATCGTGTGCAATACTACCGCGATTGTGACATGCGCTCCGCGATTCTCGCATGTCTCGAGATAAAAGCGATCGTCGCTTTTGTACTCGTATGAAAAATATATATATATCTCGTGCGCATAAACGACGCTACGGAGGTTCCGTCTATCGTGCGTCGCCGGGATATCTCGAACGGGAAATCGAGCTGTTCTTGCGAATAAATATATATATATATGCACATTGTGTAAAAGGAAAAAAGAATTTGACGCCGACAGAAGAAATTGCTATTAGCGGATTCCACGCTCGATTCGATCAAAGTGGAGGATGGAAATTACGAGTGTGGATGGTCGCAATTGTCGTTTGCGGTCATGGCGTAGAGACCTGAGCCGCCGAGCCGAACCTCTCTCTAATAGCAGCACGAAAAGCGGCGAGTCGCGCGGACAAGCATGTGCGGTCGCCAGAGACGCTCCTTTGCAACCCATTCAACACTTGTTATAAAAAAAAATAATACAACACTTTCGTCACACGTGAAATAAACGTCTCGTGTCATCGAGTGCGCCTACGACGATAGCGTAAAATTATAATACCAACGACACAGCGACAACACGTCGGGAGGGTTCCATACATAATCCTGAATAAGATCTAGCACACAGTCAAATATCTCAATGTTTATGCTACACAGTGACAAATGCAAAGCATTCAAAAAAATCATCAAAGTGGTTCTATATTTAAAAAAAGGGGGAAGAAAAAAAACGGGGGGGTGGGGGGTTGGAGGGTAACCGCAATGCAGCCCTCGGATTTACGTCCCCGTGGCCGTAAGATACAAACGGCCTCCGATATTATCCTGGCTACGTTGCACGCGGAGGCTGTTGCGCGCGTAACAGCTGGCTCGTAACTTTTCCCTGGCTCTTACCTTTAACGAACGACAGTCATCGCCGTCCCTCTACCTTCCCTCACGGGCGGTATTCTCGTGTTACGCGCCAGGACGATACGTTTGCCGTTTTAAGCCGGCCGCTCGACGAAACGAGTGCTCCTTTTTCCCCCGCGTCCTTCGCAATTAACGCGGAAACGGCGATTTGTTACTGCCCCACCCCCGCCCCTACAACCCCCCCTCCCTTAGGAAATCGCACGAGACGTTTAAACGTGTCGGGGGTGCACGGACGCACTTACACGGGAAGAGAAGCACAACTCGATTATCGCGAGGCGACGAAAGGCTAATTGGTCGAGTCTCTTTCTCTCTCTCGATCCCCCTTGCGAAACGGGTCGTTTTAGCGAGTGAGAAAGTATTATATATCGTCGCTGTTGTCCCGGCAATTGTCCCGATGGCAATGGGATAGTGGGATGTGTCGCGAAAATAACGCTCGCGAACCCTCTATGGACCGTGTCGTTATTGCTGCGACTTTTATCTCTCTTTAACAGGCTCGTACCCGAGGAAAGAGCGGCGTAACATTTATCAGTCGCTACTAAAGTTTATCTCTTCCTCTTTCTTTTTTTCTATATTGTTACGATAAATGCAACTGTACAATTAACTTAATGGCCGTAACATTTATCAGTGTCAAATGGATCGCGAAAGAGCCGGATAATACGATACATTATTGCCGGATGAATAGGATGAGACGGGCGGCCGGGGAGAAAATTCAATTAAAGTTAAAAGTTTTCGCATCACGTCTTCGCACAAATTTGCTCCGCTAATCTCCTCGATCACACACCGGGGTGGGTCCCTTCGGGGTTTTTTCAACTTGGACCCGCCGTCGCCAGGCGCTACGGAGTTTCGTTTAGGTCACAGAGGGTTCGGCGAGATTTCTCGGGGGCCGACACTGCCAATTCCTCGGCGAGCCGTCCGTGTCCCGTTTTCCTACGGTACCGATGAGCAGCCTCGCGCGGACGAAATTTGATTTTTTTTTCGCCTGAACGACGCGCACGCACGGTGCGCTCTTTACGGAGAACGGGTTACGATCTTGACGCGCCTTGGCTCTCCCTCCGAGTATCGTTCGTACGTTCAATGAAAACTCTAACGGCCGCGTTTACTCCCACGCGAGTTCCCCGCCCCGTCCCCCGCCCAAGATTTGTCCCTAAGCGCAGCGGCGTGCTCATTCGGTCGACAAATATTTGTCGGGATAAGCGATGCCGAACGTGCCCGTATACTTATGAGAATGTGATACAGAATGAAAGAAATAAAGAAGAAGACAGACAGAAGACAGATAAAGAGAGAAAGAGAGAGACAGAGAAGCGGAAGAAGAAGACGAAGAGAGACGACAAGAAAGGACGGATTCTCGCTTGCAGGGCCTAAAATTCAACGACCGACTCTTTCTCGCGATGTCTTCGGCGCGTGCCGCGAGACTCCGGCGAGTGTACACTCATCCCCTTCAGCTTAATGATCGCGAGCGCATGATGTCCGAATAGCGAAGTAGGGAAGAGGGATACATGTGTGAACAAATGTCGCTCCGCATCCTTTTGTTCTCATCTTCGTGTGACGCTGGGCGTGTGAAGCGTAACGAGTCTCTGATTCGTCGAAACGGAACCGCCAATTATCTCGACGAGTCTCGCGCGTCGCGCCTGGGCGATGGGGGAGTCGATGATCAAGTCGGCGTCGAGAAGAATTCGGCTGGGCGTCATT